AGGTTAATGAAGTGACGTGACCCTGGAGGCAGACGGAGGCGAGATTGTCGGAATGGATGTGATGGTTTTGAATTAAAGAACATAAATAAATTATGTTTGTGATTATGATTGTTAAGCTTCCGCAATATTGAAAACTCCGTACTGTTTATATTATGAAAAATATTATTGTGATAAATAAAAGTGTTTGAAATGTTTTAAATTTTTACGATTACCAAGTTAATACTTTAATCTGAAAGGGGCTGCAGACCTGGATAGATTAGGGTGTTACATAGTCAAAGTTCTCTGATCGAGGTTTGTTGCCTAGCGGACGTCATCTCTGTTATGCGTTGTCCCTTTCATCCTGTCGTTGTCGCGTAGTCAACATGGCCGGTCACTATCCGGCGGTCGCTATCACGGTCCCCAGCCGAGCTCGCAGGCCGGGCCGAGCCCATAGGGCGAGCCAAGTTCATGGGCCGAGCAGAGAAGATCCTCCATGTGGCTGATAGGCCCGGATGACGTGTCTTTTGGAGTCGTCCTCCATCATAAGCCCCCCACTCTCCAGGTTTCGTTGCAGTCGGCGATGGGACACGAGAGAGTATGGGTACTGTAGGAAAGCAGCGTGGGGTCCACGTGGGATAGTTGGCAGGTCATTGGTGCCGTTTGGGCTTCGCCATCATGAAGGGGTGCGCCGTTTCGCCTCCCTAGGCCAAGTGGCGGCCCATCATTGCACCCATTCAACCCTTCCTTTATAAATACCCACCCTACTCATCTCATTCTCCACTTTTAGAGAGAGAAAGTAGGATTCTTTGCCGTCGCTAGTCTTCCCACTGCCATCCTTGTCCGTTCTCCGGCTCTGTACTAGGTTAGTCTTCTTCGGCCTTGCTCTTCCATGTCTTCCCAATCCTCAGTCTTTCGTCGGTCCGCGTCCGAGCGCGATGCCGAGGGTTCCGTCACATGCTCTGCCCAGGAGAGCGACTCCCGCTCACCCTCTGTTGAGGAGATAGTCGAGGCGGTTGAGATCCCTCCTCAGTCCGAGCCTCGCAACCAGAGGCGCACCACCCTGGAGGACTCGGGGATCCGAGCGCGGAAATGCACCCTCACGGTTGAGGAATTTCGCAAGGCGAAGCGCCTGGCCTCGGCGCCAGGCGTGACCGTGCGTCGTCCCACCCCCGAGCAGTCAGTCTTTGACGCCCCTTCGGGTTTCTTCGCTATCCACCTCAAATCCCTCGAGTACGAGTTTCGCTCCCCCCTCCATCAGTTGGTCAAAGATTTTTTCCTCCATTTTGACTTTCTCCCCTGCCAAGTCGTGCCCAAATCCCATCGTTACTTGGCGGGGTTCCTTATCCGTTGCCAAGCGACCGGGGTTCGCCCCGATCTGGCCCGCTTCTTGCTACTCTTCCGGTTGGCAAAGTCGTCTGGTCGGGCTAATTCTGACTCGGGCTCGTACGCCTCTATCTTCCAGAGGCAAGAAAAGCTTTTCAAGACGAGGAAGGACTCCGCCAAGAGTTGGAAGGGGAAGTTCATCTTCGTTTCTCTCTCCTCGGGTTCCTTCTTTCGCAAAGAACCCCTCAGTTCCTTTCGCGGAGGAGGCTGCTCGCAAGGCGCGCCAGGAGGCTCGCGATCAGGCCGTTGCCGAGTTCCTAGCATCGGATGCATTTCAGGAGGAAGCCTTCGCTCGCATGAATGATTTGCTCAAGGCATGGGGGCAGACTCCTGAGGGGAAGGCATTCGCTCGCTCCGAAGGGACGTCGTGGTACAACCTCGGTCTGTTCCGAGCGCAGCAGGTCCTTTCGGATAGGTTCCTCGCCGGGGAGGACCTCCCCGAGCCATGCGACAATCCTGATGAGCTCGACACTTCCATCTACTACCCGAATGGCGGGAACTCTGCCGGCGAGCAGCCGAATGCCGAGTGATATGACTTGAAACTTTGTTGTATTTGATGTAATGCTGTTCAAGACTTTGTTTTTTTGAATTCGGATATGTTATGACTCGATGCTTTGTATGGATGTGCTATGTCTTTCTCTTTTGCGTTTAATTTTACTGCCTTCGTCGTTTCCTTTAACTTGCGTGCTCGCACATTCCCCGTCCGACCTGGGCTCGGCCCTGCCGAAGAGAGGTTACTTTGGGACTTGGTCCCTTTTTTGTCTCCTCGTTAACTAAGACAACCTTGGGACCTGGGACCTTTTGACCTGCCGTCAGTACGACCATCCCCGTGCTGCCACGTGTACCTTCCCTCCATGGCAAGATGCCTATATAAGGGGGGGTCCTCACGATTTGTTTTCATTCATATTTGAATTTCCCCAAATCTTGCCATGCCGCGCTCGGCACCCACTCCCCCCGATTCCAGTGAGATGCAAGGAGAGACGTTCTCCTTCGGCAGCTACTCCCTCGGGGGCTCCTCTGCCATTCCGACCGAGTCGGGGCCAAGCTTGACCCCGCCGCCCTCTCCGCGGGACTCTTGGGACTCGGACTCTGAGTCTGAGTCGGTGCACCCCGATCCTTCTGCCAAGATCCCGGGGTTCATCTACTATTCGTCGGAGGAGGAGGAGAAGACCCCATCTCCGCCGGCTCCGCCGGTCCGACGTGAGGTCGTCGCTCCCCCGGTTCATGCCCGCCGCGGTGGCCGAGGTCGCCGCCCTTGAGCTCCTCCCGCAGTGGTTCCGAGCGAGAGCTCAGTGGTATCCCACCATCCGAGCCTGTGCTCCCTTGAAGACCCCAACTTGCCCAGCTATGGTGAGTGTACCGGGCACTCCGTCATCAGTCAGGCTCCTTCACCTTCCTACCCCCCACCTTGCCCGTGCGAGCGGGAGTGGAATTGCGGCATGCACTGAATACCCGTACTTTAGTTGTAAGGTGTTTAATCATTATGAGGCGTTTGTGCCATGTACTTGCCCGTTTTCCGGGATGAATAAAATTTGGATTTGATCAAGTCTTGTTTTCGCTCTTCGCCATTAGCCTTAAAGGTTGCACTTGGCTCTTCCCCCTGAGGAGGTGGGCCAAGCACGAAGGTTAGACCTTTATCCGGTCATGGTCTGCGCTCGGCTCTTCCCCTGAGGGGAAGTGCCGAGCACGAATGTTAAACCTCCATCCGGGGAAAACGTCCGGGTGTGGTATGCACTCGGCTCTTCTCCTGAGGAGGAGTGCCGAGCACGAAGGTTAGACCTTTATCCGGGAAGAGCATCCAGACATGGTCTGCGCTCGGCTCTTCCCCTGAGGGGAAGTGCCGAGTACGAATGTTAAACCTCCATCCGGGACAAACGTCCGGGTGTGGTCCGCACTCGGCTCTTCTCCTGGGGAGGGGTGCCGAGCACGAAGGTTAGACCTTTATCCGGGAAGAGCATCCGGACATGGTCTGCGCTCGGCTCTTCCCCTGAAGGGGATTACCGAGCACGCCTGTTGGACCTTGTTTGCAAAAAATTCCATTTCATTGAATTCAATCATGGTGTTGCGGGTTCCCTTCCTCGGGCCCGTGTACATTGGAAATCTATTGATAAAACTTAACCAGGTTCTCGGCATTCCAAGTCCTGGGCACATCCCCTCCACTCGGCGTCTACAGGCGGAACGTTGAGGGGCCTACCACTTCTTTGATGATGTAAGGGCCTTCGTAATTCTTGGCAAATTTTCCACCTTCTAGGGGGCGGCTTACATACCTCTTGCGCAGCACCCACTCTCCTTCGATGAACCTCCGTGCGTGCACGCGCCCGTCATGGTAGCTCTTTACCTTCTTTCGGTAATTTTCTGCCCGTATGAAGGCCGCTTCTCGCCTCTCGTGCACGAGGTGGAGCTCGGCTGCCAGGGCTTCTTCGTTACGCTCGGGGTCGAAGACCTCCTCCTGGTGAGTTGCGATGGAGATCTCTGCAGGAGCCCTCGCCTCGAATCCGTAGCACAAGGCGAAGGGAGTTTCCCCAGTTGCCCTCCTAGGCGTGGTCCGGTAGGTCCATAGGATGTAAGGCAACTCCTCTGCCCACTCTCCTCCGCAGGCCTCCAACTTCCGCTTCAGCTCGTCGACTATCGTTCGGTTGGCGTTCTCAACCTGTCCGTTCGTCTGTGGGTACCCAACCAACGCATAGCTGTGCTTGATCCCCTAGCTTCCGAGGAAGTCGTTGAAGGGCTTGGACTCGAATTGTGTCCCATTATTCGTGATTATGTGCTCGGGAACGCCGAAGCGGCAGATGACTTGCTTTGCGAGAAACTTCTGGCATTGAGCTCCGGTGATGCTTGCCAATGGGGCTGCTTCCACCCACTTAGTGAAATAGTCAATGGCTACGATGATGTACCTCAAGTTCCCGGTGCCCCTAGGGAGTGCACCCACGAGATCCAACCCCCATCGCGCGAACGGGATGGCTGTGCTGATGGGGGTGTAGTTGGTTGAAGGCCTCCCTGGTACCTTCTGGAACTCTTGGCACACTTTACACTTCTTTACAAACTCCGCGCAATCCTTAACAATTGTTGGCCAGAGAAATCCTTGAAGGGTTATCTTCCTCGACACCGCGTATGCTCCTTGGTGGGCGGAGCAGATTCCGGCGTGCACCTCCTCCATGACTTGTTTCGCTTCGCCCGGTCGGAGGCATCTGAGTAGCGTCCCGTTGTATGCTTGCTTGTATAGCTTCTCGCCTTCCAAGGTATACCCCGGTGCCCTTGTCCGGACCAACTTGGCCTTCACCGCCTCGTTTGGGAGTGTGCCATCCTTCAGGAAGGCGACTATGTCGTCCGTCCAATCTCTGGGCTGAGCACAGATCATTGCCACGGGGAAGGCATGGATGTTTGGCTTGGACAGCTCTTCCACATTCGCCATTCGCCTGATGTGCTCGGGCGTGTTTGAGCTCAGCTTCGACAAGATATCCGCCTCGGCGTTCTCCGCCCGAGGGATCTGCTCGACACTATACGCGGTGAAGCTTTTAAGTAGTTCTAGAGCCGTATCTCTGTATTTTTTCATTCTTTCGTCCTTCGCTTCGAACTCTCCCGACACATGGCCAACCACCAACTTCGAATCACACTTTATCCTTAGCTTTGTCGCGTTCATCCCGACTGCCACACGTAACCCGCACAAGAGCGCTTCATACTCCGCCTCATTATTTGATGCCTTGAAGCCGAATCGGACTGAGTAATATGCTCTGAAGCCTTCAGGAGCGATGACTACCACTCCACCCCCCGAGTTTTTGGCGGCGGAGGAGCCGTCGGTGAAAACTGTCCACCAATCGTCGGTCTCAAGAGCCGGGCTCGGCTCCTCTCAGGCGGTGCATTCTACCACGAAGTCGGCCAGTGCCTGGCCTTTGATTGCAAGCCTTGGCTTGAACTCGATCTGGAAGGCTCCAAGGAACACAGCCCACTTGGACATGCGAGAGGGCGCGTTCGGACTCCTGAGCAACGCACCTATGGGCTGCTGGGAAAGCACTTGGACCGGGTGAGCTTGGAAGTAGGGCGTCAACCGGTGCACGGTTGAAACCACGGCCATCACTGTCTTTTCGGCCACCGAATACCTGAGCTCGGCACCCCTCAGCGTCTTCGCCGTGTAGTACACAGGGTGCTGAGTTCCGCCTTCTTCTCGAACTAGGACCGAGCTGAGTGCATTGGGCGACACTCCCAAATAAAGATATAAGATCTCTCCGGGCTCGGGCTTAGCGAGGACCAGCGGGGAGAGGAGATAAGATTTCAGAGATTCAAAGGATTGCTGGCAGTCTTCCGTCCATACGAACCCTCGGGACTTCTTCACAGCTTGGAAAAATGGAGCGGCTCGATCCGCTACCTTGGAAAGGAAGCGGCTAAGCGCAGCCAACTTTCCGGTCAAGCGCTGCACCTCCTTGACATTTCGTGGAGCTTCCATGTCAAGGATGGCGCGCACCTTCTCGGGGTTGGGCTCAATACCGCGCCTGCTCACCATGTGTCCCAAGAACTTACCGCCTTGAACTCCGAACGTGCACTTCTTCGGGTTCAACCGAAGGTTGTACTTTTCCATAATCTTGAAAACTCCTTCTAAGTCTTCCGCATGGGTAGTTGCCTGCTTGCTCTTCACAATCATGTCATCGACGTACGCTTCCATGCTCTTCCCAAGGACGGGCGCGAAGAGCTTGCTCACCATCCTAGCATAGGTTGCCCCGGCGTTCTTGAGTCCAAAAGGCATCACCTTGTAACAATAAACTCCGCCGGGGGTAGTGAAAGACGTCTTCTCTTTGTCTTCAGGGTGCATTCGGATTTGGTGGTACCCGCTGAAGGCGTCCATGAAGCTCATGAGCTCGCAACCCGCCGTCTCGTCCACCAGCTGGTCGATGTTCGGTAGGGGGAATGGATCCATGGGGCATGCCTTATTTAGGTCGGTGTAGTCCACACACATCCTCCAGGTGTTTCCCCTCGGAGCCAACACTACGTTCGCCATCCATTCTGGGTACTTAATTTCTCTGATATGCCCAATGCTCTGGAGGGTGGTCACTTCCTTGGAGACGAACTCCCTCCACTCGGACGAGAGGAAACGCTTCTTCTGCTTCACCGGCCTAGACTCCGGGTTGACTGCCAACCGGTGGCATATGATCTTGGGGTCCCCCGTGAATCCGGAGAGAGGAGTGCGCACAGGCCTCAAGTCCTTGCAGTTCAAACCGAGGTCTTGGAATGTTTTCTCGTACATTATGTTGACTGAGCTTCCCGTATCCACCAAGGTGCGGTGTACTATGGCGTCGTTGATCTCTATCTTCACGACTAAGGCATCCCGGTGGGGACTCGGCGTGTTCGGAAGATCCTTCTCCGTGAACTGGATCTGCTCTCGTCTTCCGAGCTTGAGCGGCGGCGCCTGATGGACCTTGGCGACAAAGGCCATGTGCTTCCACCTTTTCCTTTGAGCGGTAGAGTCCCCGCCAATGTTTCCCCCATGGATAAATCCTACCGGATATCCTTGGGCTTCGTTTTCGTTCAGATCGTCGCACTCCCGCCCGATGTGCCTCTTCTCGGGGTTCCTTGCCTGTGTCGCCACTGCGACTGGCTTAGTCGGCTTCATCCAAGTTCTTCCTTCCGGCGGCCCCCGGGAGGGGGTAGCCGCATCGTCTCGCGGAGGCGGCCCTCGGGCGATGAGTCGCTACATTTCCTTCTGAAGAGTGAAGCATTCTTTAGTGTTATGAGTGTTGTTACGATGGTACTCGCAATACTTAGTTCCGCTGGACACTGCGTAAGCCTCTACGTGGGGGAGCGGGGAAAGGGCAAGCTCTCGACCCGCGCCCACGGAGTATACCCCGGCCAAGGGCGTCCTCGGGCCCGCGGTATAGTCTTTCTTCTTCTTCCTCTTCTTCGCGGTCTCTCCCGAGTCCGCTGGAGCTCGCTTGGCCGGCGCAGCCTCGGATTCCTGGGCATCGTCGAACTCCTCCGAGGCTAAGAACTTTGCGTGCGCCAAGGTCTCTTGGTATGTGGGGGGAGGATTCTTGCGGAGCTCCTTCCTCACTTCTCCGCGGGGAAGGGCTGCTTGGAACATGGCAACCAACGCCTGGTCATCCGCCCCGTGCACGTCTCTGGTTTCCTTCTCCCACCGGACTATGAAGTCACGGACCTTTTCTCCCTTGTGGATGCATATGTTGAGCAGGTGGGAGTAAGGTAGCCTCTGCCTTCGGTTGGCCGCAAAATGCGTCAAGAACTTCTCCGCCAGCGTATCCCAATCGTCAATGGTTCCCTTTGGGAGCCGGTTGAACCAATCGCACGCGGAGCCCTCTAGCGTCGCGAGGAAGCACCTGCACTTGACCTCGTCCGGAGCTATCGCCGCCTCCATCGAAGCATAGAACTTTGACAAATGATCCTGGGGGTCCGTCGTCCCGCTGTAAGCCTTGATCTGCCACGGACGGAAGTTTGCCGGCAGCGGAACTGACATAACCCTCGGGGTAAACGGGGTTACCGTGCGCAAGATGGGCTGGCTGTAGGGGGATTTTGTCTCTACTCGGCGTTTGAGCTCGGCAATCTCGCGCGCAAGCTCAGTCATACCCCGTTCAGGGACCTTTGTCTTCTCGGTTCTGGTTGGGCTCTGGTGACGCTGAGTCTGCTCATCCCTTCGGCCTTCGGTTCGCTCAGGTCTCGCCGAGCGCGCATCCGAGGTCGCTGATTCCTCAGCGTTCCTCCGCCTGCCTTCGGAGATCTGCCGGCGGAGATCACCTAGGCGGCCTTCCGGTCCGCGGTTGAGCCGGTCGAAGGCCGACACTCGGGTCTCCTCGCCTCCCAAGCGTTTGAAGGCCGAGACTCTACACTCACTGGACTCATCGTCCTCCCCTTCTTGGACGTCCTCCACCAACACCTCCTCGATCACCGAGCCCTTGTCGGGCCTCCTTCTGCTCCTCCGAGTCTTCTTCCCCTTGTGCTGGGAAGTGGCAGCGTGCTCGGTGTGGTGACCGAGCGGAGCTTTGCCAGGCCCGGCGCCGGGCACGTTCCCACCCATGGCGGAAAGTGCCGCAATGGCCGTCTGGAGCTGCTCCGTGGTCACCCCCAACCCGAACAGCGCCTGGACCGCGTCCGGAGTCGAAGCGATGCCACCTGTGCCATTGCCGCTGCCCGGAGCGATCTCCTCGCCGCCGACGTGGCTGGTGGTGGGAACGTTGCTCCTGGTTTGCACTATTCTCGCGTTGAGGAGTTAACCTACAAGTATGTTCCTCAGCTCTCAATGAAAGCACCAATTTGATGGTTATAAACCACCGAGAATGAAGAATAAAATAAGTTTTAGAGAGAGAGAGAGAGAGTGCACAGTAGGAGTTTATTCGTTCTAAACTTGGATCCATTACAATGGGGGATTCACCCCTTTTATAGGGGATACAATACACATAGTCAAAGTTCTCTGATCGAGGTTCGTCGCCTAGCGGACGTCATCTCTGTTATGCGTTGTCCCTTTCATCCCGTCGCTGTCACGTAGTCAACATGGCCGGTCACTATCCGGCGGTCGCTATCATGGTCCCCAGCCGAGCTCGCAGGCCGGGCCGAGCCCATAGGGCGAGCCGAGCTCATGGGCCGAGCAGAGAAGATCCTCCACGTGGCTGATGGGGCCCGGATGACGTGTCTTTTGGAGTCGTCCTCCATCAAGTACATTTAAATAAAGAAAGATAAACAATTGAAAAATGAATAATTAAATGCAAAAATATTTATAAAACTTAGTTTAATTTATACTTCGTATTTCACAAACAAAAGAGAATGAATGAAAATTAAATATTATTTCAAATATTTGTTAATTCTTTTTATATTCATCTACAAAAAATTAAAATTTAAATAAATAATTATTTAAATAAAATATTATTTGTAATTCATCTACACATGAACCAACTTTTCAAAATCAATTTATTTTCTAATGAAAAAATATAAAAAACATTATTATTTTTATAACAAAAATGTATATATGTTTGGTATGAGATTTTTCGGTATGAGAATTTATCTCGTACCGGCCCCAAATACCGGACCGACCATTCAGTTCGGTACGGTACATTTCTTTTTCGGCATTTTATCGGTTTAATAATCTTAATTTTTTCAGAAAATAGGGATCGATTCGGTTGTTGCTCACCATAATAACCCTAATAGTAAGAATTCAGCTGTCTTACGGCCCAAGCCCATATACGAATTCTATATATTCGGAATACATGCTCTCTGGAAACCCTACACGCCTACACTTAGCATTCAACAATTCAGTCCCAAAGCAATCAATTTCAAAAACCAGTGCATATACATAATCAAGCTCAGCGTTTTTAGTGAATTGTTTTTATTTTCTTGTTCTTATTACGGAGTTTATCTTTGCCCAGTGATGAAAAAAATATAATTATTGAAACGGCACGCGGTTGATTCATCTCTTACCTTTAAGCGCATCGCCGGATTAATCATCCCGCGCCGCCGCCATCTCCGCCGCAGCGTCTTAATTCACACGATTAACACACACCCGCACGCGCCTGCGGTGGATTGGTTGCGGTGTGCTTAAAGGTATTTGATGAATCGCCGTTCATCCACATGTGATCCATTGAAGCTATGAGATCTGAGGGCGTTTTATTTTCTTCTCATTTTGAAAAATCGGTTTTAGTTTTCAAGATTCTCAAAGATATAAATATATCTTTTTAATTATAAATTGCATTACAAAAAATATTTCGTGACCTATGAATTCGTGCTATAATTGTTTTTTAATTTTTGATTTTAAATACCAGTTTGTGTGCTTTGCGTGTTTTTTGTGTTCCAATTTTTTTCAACATCCTATAAAGATACGGAGTACTCCGTATGTTTTACACAATTTGTGCGAGGTTTCTTGCGGGGTTGGGGTGCAGGGGTGGGGTAGGGTAGGGTGGGGTTTAGGAGGTGGTAACTGTCAATTTGATGAATAGAGTGGAAGTGTCTAAAAATGACAATGGCACCACTAGTATTATCAAAAGCCAGTGTTACTAGAATTCCATTGACGGTGGAGTTCTAGTGACACCGGAGTAAGGTGACTCTTGAGGCATTTCGGATGCTTCGTTTGTAAAATTAACGGTTTTTTTATGAGTAATTTTTGTTGAAAAACTATAATTTTTATTTCATTCATAAAATTTTTAATAAATTCAATAGTTCAAGATTTTTTTTGATATACTATACATTATTATTATTTCTAAACTCGTCAAATTTAAAAGGTTATGCTAAATGAATTTTCATAAATGATGAATGATAATTTAAAGCATGCTATGTAATTTATTCTTGTGTCATGTTATTTAAAATTGCCATAGAAGATGACATCTCAACATCTTAGTCACGAGTCTCAAACATTATAATAAAAGATCTATCAAAAATAATAAATTTTAGTGAAAAAAATTTTAAATTTTGAGTTATGAGTTTCAAACAAAAAATAATCTTTTCTGAAAAAGAATTAAAAAATAAAATAATTGAAAAATGTAAATTTGGTTAAATTGTTAAAGATGTCACATGCTAAGAATTTATGATGATACATGTCAGATTTGTGATATGTCATATGACAAATTGTTAAATATGTCATATGTCAAATTTATGTTTAAAGAATATACTCCCTCCGTTCTAAAATTTTCTTTTCGTCGCGCAAAACGAAGAAAAATCTTAAGTTTTATCAATTTATTTTATTTAAATATTGATATAGAAATAAAAAATAAAACTTACATATTTAAAAATTACATCAAAAGTTTAAAAAAACAAGTGGTGAAAAGAATATTTTATTTTATCATATAGGACATGAAAAAATATATATAAATATAAATTTTCGTGAAGTTGGAATAGTGCTATAGGAAAGTTTTAGGACGGAGGGAGTAGTGCTATATATATATTATATTCTTTATATATAAATTTGAAAGTTGAATCAATAAAAATTGACATGTGGCATATCACGAATCTATCACGAATCTAACATGTGTCATCTTAAATATTTGGCATGTGACATCCTAAGTGATAATTTAACTAAATTTACACTCTTCAATTATTTTACTTTTTAAATCTTTTTTGATAATGATATTACCTATTTTGAACTCATATTTCGAAATTTAAAATTAAAATATTTTTTCCTAGAATTTATTTTTTTTGATAAATCTTTAACTATTTACTATAATGTTTGAAACTTGTATCTTTAAAATGTTGACATGTGTCATCTTGTATGACAAATTTTAAATAACATGGTAAAGAATAAACTTCATGGCATGCTTTAAATTCTTTTTCATCATTTATGAAAAATCATTTATAATAATCTTTTAAATTTAACGAGTTTAGAAATTAAAATAATGTATTGTATATCAAAAAAAATCATGGACTAATTTATTAAAAATTTTATAAATGAAATAAAAATTATAGTTTGTCAACAAACATTATATGAATTATTCATAAAAAAGAAATCATGACTAATCTTTGCCTTTTTTATAAAAATAAAGCAATTATATTAAAATTTTCTAGAGTTAATTATTATTGGAACATAATTTTTCATATGGAAAACATATTATAGTAAAAATTGAGAATTGAAAAAATATAGTCTTCGTATTCATATATTTAAGTTTAAAGTACTAAATGATAACATATATTTTTAAATAGAATATATTAAAATAGTTTTAGTGCTTCATGTGGATTGAAAAATATGTACGAATACACCATTTGTTTTCAAAATTAATTTAAAAAATGTCTATCATTTCAAAAGGTTGCAAACCCACCACTTCGATTCATATTATTTTTCGTCCATTTTTGCATTAAAAAAGGGGTCGCTTATGTCTATTTTCAATCCATATGTGTATCAGCGCGTATTATCATTTTTAAACTTCTTTTTTAAATTATTCTTTATAATGCTTTAAAATTCAAATTCATTTGTATCTGAAATAAAAAATAAAAAATACTTTCTCTATCCAAAGTTAATCATTTTCAGTTTTATATTTTCCAAAATAATTTATTTTTTGTATCAAAAAATAAAATAGAAAATATAATAAAGGAAGAAAAAAGAAAAATAGAAAAAAAGAAATGAAAAGAAAATAATACAAAATTCTCTTATTGAAAAGGAGAAAGGGATCCATAAAGTATACTGCTAAGGTTTATTTGGAAAGTCTAAAAATTTATTTTTTGACAAAAAAATTTCATAATGATAAAAATATAATCATTAATATCTATACAACATTTGCAAACATTTTTTAATTAATTTATAATAAAATTAGTGTGCTTTAAAAAAATTAATGTTTAAAATATTCCCATTAAAGTCACCTAATTAAAAATAATGTTTCATTAATAAGATGTTCCTTTCGTTCCATAAAGAGAAGGAAATAATGATTAAATAATGTGATACACATTACTGTTTTTTCAGATTAAACATAACTATCATTTAAATAAGACAAGAATAATAAATAAACTATTATTAATAAGAAAAAGTAATTGAACCAAAAGTATAAAAAGACAAATATGGATAAAAAGAGTCATCTTGGTGCCTATTTAAGATGTCTTATATTATAAATTTGGATGAAAAGTATTTTTTTTATTCGTTGTATATGCATTGACATGTAAAAAAATTTCTAACTTTGTACATTTATTTTAATAATGATAATAGTAATAATTATAATTATAATAATAATTATTATTATAATAAAAATAATAATATTAAGAATAATAATAATAATTTGTTTTAATAATGATAGTAGTAATGATTATTATAATAATTATAATAATAATAAGAGTAAGAATAATAGTAATAATAATCTTTTACTATAATATTTGAGACTCATGTCTCCAAGAAATTGACACGTATCATCTTACATGACAATTTTTAAATGACATGACACATAAATAAATTAAATGTCATGCTTTAAATGTTCATTCATCATTTATGAAAATTTGTTTATGATAACCTTTAAAATATGATGAGTTTAAAACAATATATTTTTTTATTGAAAAATGATGGTCTTTTGAATTTATTCAAAATTGTGTAAATGAAAAAAATGTAATTTTCAACAAAAGTTAAGTAAACTAATCATAAAAAAGAAACTAATCATGATTAGCCTGGGTCTTTTTTTATAAAAATGAAAATAATATTAAAAGTCTTTTGAGTAAAATATAGTTTTTTAAAAACTATAAATTTATTCTTTTGTATGAAAATTTATTGAGCTAAATAATGATCTGGAATAGCTCATCTTATACGACTAATTAAAGATGAGATATTTATTAAAGAAAATTAGTGCATTATGGGTTTGTGCATATTAGATAATTTTTAATATGAAAACTTTGTGGTTTAATGTATTCAATAACGTTTTTAATAATTGAAATTTCCTTAAATATATAATAGGGATATAAAAAATCTATCAAGATTTAAATTTTGTTTGAGATATTATATATTATCACATCACGGTATTCATAGTCTTTTAAAGTGTTTATTTATGATATAAACAATTTTGTTTTTAAATGAAAGTATTTTCATAAAGGAAATATAAATTTTAAAAAGAATTATTTTCATCCTCTTTTTTAGTAGGACTTTTTGAGCTTTTATTTTTCTTTATTGGAACATTATTTTCATAGAGAAAATATATAATAGTAAAAATAGATAATTGAAAAAAATATAATCTTGATATTCATATATTTATAGATTCAATCAGTGAATGACAAGACATATTTTTGAATAGAATATTTTAAAATAGTTCCAGCGCTCTAAATGGTTTGAAAAAAGGTATGAATACCTCATTTGTTTTCAAAATTTATTAAAAAAATGTCTACCATTTCAAAGGGTTGCACACGCATAACATCAGTTTGTACTATTTTTCATTCCGCGTTTCAATAAAAAGGGGGCATTGATACCCATTCTAATCAACATGAGCTAATGAACATCAATGCATACTATCATTTTTTTTAGCTTTTTTCACATATAATTATTCTTTATAATGTTTTAAAATTCAAATTGGTTTGTATTTGAAATAAAAAACCGAAATTAAAAAATATATACTTTATTCATCTAAAGTTAAGTATTTTTGTTTTTATAAATTTGGATGAAAAGTATTATTGTTTATTCAATGTTTATGCATTTGCGTGTAAAAACATTATTAATTTCGTATAATAATAATAATAATACACAGAGGTTCTATATCCACTCACTTTAAATGAT